ATATATATATATTACAATCTTAGTCTTATAAAACATTGTTAGAAATATTCTTGGTCATTTTGTACCTTTTAGGTAAACGGGTTATATTTGCAGAAGTAATTTTTAAGATTTGTAGTAGAGAGAATAAAGAAAACATCAGTCCTAACGTAAGATTGGTTTATATTTGTGCATTTGCCACTTTCATTCCTCCTCAGGGAGCGAGGTGCATCATTTGAGACTCCACAGGCTAACAGCTTGACTCTTGGAATTCCCTTTTCTGACAGTTCTAATACGAGTTCATTTTCATAGCAATATGTAACATGTAGTGAGCTTCTGTCTTCTTGGTTTGTCCTTCAGCTCTTTTATGGATTTTTCCTCATTTAACCTTTAGATCTGTCATTTTCATTTTCCGGTTGACCAAGTTGAAACAAAACGAACTTCAGTAACTTGACCTACATCATCCAGTAAATATGTGATGAAGCTGGGGTGTAATCTCCAACACTGTCCATTGAACCTGTGGCCTTCACACTGAGCTATATCCTTAGCTCTTTTTATATTTTTTTTATTTTGAGACAGGTTCTGGCTAAGTCTTTAAATTACTGATACTGGGCTTGAACTTGAGATCTTTCTGTGTCAGTGTCAGCCTCCCAGAGTGCTGGAGTTACATGTTTGCATCACAACTCCTCGTTGTCCTGTTTCTTAAGACTACCCACCAGAAATGTGTGTATCCTCCCTCCACCCTCCGGAACTCCTTTTTGTTTTTGGGAATAAACTCTAGGCCTTCACGCTGAACCACATACCCAGACTTCTTTGTTATTCAAAAAAATTTTTGGGGGGAGGTACTGGAGATCGAACTGGGGTCCTTGTGCTTGTGAAGCAGGCAGCAGAACCACTGAGCTAAATCCCTAACCCCCTTTTTTGTTATTTTTTAATTGAGACAAGGTCTCACCAAATCACTGAGTTGCCCAGGCAGGGCTCGAATTTACCATCTTTCTACCTTAGCCTCCCAGATGGCTGGGATATAGGCATGTGCCACCATGCCGTGTCCTAATTCCTTGACTCACTGTACTTGGGACCTTGCCACCAGTCCTGTGTGAATTGCATTGGAATATCTTTCAAGTTTAGTCACCCCTTCGTGACTTTATGTATTTCTTATATGTTAACTTAATGTATTCATTTTATATAATCTTCTTTCTATGACACGACTTCCTTTTTTTTTTGTACCGGGGATCCAACTTGGGACCTTGTACTTGCAAGGCAGGTGGCGGAACCACTAAACTAAATCCCTGGCCCCAGTGACATGGCTTCTTTTTATTATGTGTTTTCTGTTTATTTTATAAAAAAGAAACTACACCTTCTGATTAGTGCGTTTTTTTTTCCTCATAGAACTAAATGAATTATGGTGGTCTCTTTCTCTTTTCTCATTCCAACAAAACTACCTGTGCTCCTTTTTTTTTTTTTTTTTTCCATTGTGTAGTTTGTCCTGTGAAGGGGCACACACATATGCATCCTGGAATTGCAATTTCAGGATATTAATGGATGCATAAATTATGTAGCTATGGTTCTTTGAAGGCTTGGCATATGGTAAAATATTAAACAATAGAAAACTAATATAATTTTATACTTAGAAAACAAAAGTTTGAGCATTGTACAGTTAGGAAACTGTGACAAAATCTTGGCTGCTGAGATTATGCAAAAATTGAAAGGAATGAGGAATGGTTGGATATATAGGAGTTCATGGTAAAGAAACAATTTCATACTTTCCCAACAAATTACCCTCTTAGTCCCCAAGTAAATGACCTACTGTTCTAAAGAGCAGCTTGGAACTTACTTTCCCTTTTTTTCTTCAAATAAGGAAAAACAAAAACAACAACAAAAAACAAGGGAGTTAAGACCTGGGTACATCCCAGTTCTAGATACGTAGACAAGTTACTTAACCAATCAAGAAAAAAACACCTGTTTTATTTTCTGTTGAAATATACGTGTGTGTGTGTGTGTGTGTGTGTGTGTGTAACACACACACACCTACACACATATATATCTGAGCACAGTCTCTAGAAACATGGTAACTGTGTTTTGTTTTGTTTTGTTCAGAAAAGTTGATTTTCTTGTGTTCTGTTTCATTTTACTTCCACCCATTAATTTAGGTTTTGCATATAACCCTTTCTCATACTGGATTTATTCCCTAGCCAGACTTGTTGAAAATATTCTTTGCATTTTTATCTTTACTGTTTCATATTTTATTCTCTTTTGCTGTTTTTTTCCTTGGAGTACTGGGATATAATCCAGTTCTTTAGCACTGAGGTATATCCCCAGTCCCCTCTTTTTTTAAAATTTTGAGACAGTGTCTTGCTAAGTTGCCCAAGCTAGGCTCAATTTTTTTGAAAAAGTTTTATTAGTACATGTTATAATATGTAATGATTCCATTCATTGTGCTGAATTGCTACATGTATATAACTCATCTCAGTTCCTCTTATTTTTCTTTTTTGGTTTTTTGAGACAGGGTCTCACTATGTAGTTGAGACTGACCTGGAACTCACTATGTAGCCCAGGCTGGTCTCAAACTCACAGTGATCCTCCTGCCTCAGCCTCCCGAGTGCTGGGATTACAGAGAAATGTGCCTCTTATTTTTCTAACCCCCTATTTTTTATACCTGAATCAGATTCATTTATCTTTCATGTAAATTCATTTATCTTTCATGTAAATTTAAGTATCATACATAGAGATTATCAGACAGGTAATAGGCCAAAAACATAAAACACATAAAACAATTCACTAAATGTATACTTTTAGATGCATTGTCTATTATGGATTACAATAACCTTTTTCTCTTGCTTTACTGTTGTTTATTTTATACTTTATTTATATATTGAGTACTTTATGTATATTGAGTTTCTCATACAAGAAAAACCTTGTGATATTTAAGTTTGTGTGTTTGATTTTCTTCTCTTAACATTATAGTCTCAAAGTGCATTCATTTTGCTACAGATAAAACTCATCTATCCTTTATGGCCAAGTAGTACTCCAGTGGGTATAAATACCACATTTTCTTTATCCTTTATCCATTGATGGATGTGTAGGATGCTTCCAAGACTTAGCTACTATGAATTGTGCATCTATAAATATAGGTATTCATACATCACTGTGATATGATGTCTTTACAGTAAATCTTTTGGGATGATACCTAGAAGGGGAACAGCTGGGTCAAATGGAATTTTTAGTTTTAATGTTTTAAGGAATCTCCATAGTGATTTCCATAGTGGTTATATCATTTATACTCCCACCAACAATGGAGAAGAGTTCCTTTTTCCCTGCAGCCTCACCAGCATTTGTTATTGGCAGGTAACATTGTGATTTCACCTTTTACATTTTTTTTTTTCTTTTTTCTCAGTACCGGGGTTCAAACTCAGTACTTGTGCTTGTCAGGCAGGCACAGCGCTGCGGAGCTACATCCCTGGACCCTTCCTTTTTCATTTCTAATTGCATGGATTTAGGTTTTTTTCTTTCCTAATTTTGGACTGACTGAAGGTTTGCCTATTTTGTTTAATTTTTCATAGAACCAACTCTTTAATTAAGTGAGCTTTTAGTCTCAATTTCATTAATTTCTTCTCTGATCTTTATTTCTTCTTCATGCTAGCTTTTAGTTTGTATTCTTGTTTTTTCAGAAGTGCATTAGGTTATATGTTTGAACTTGTTCTGTTTTTCTGATATGGGAATTCATTGCTATAAACTTTCCTCTTAGGATTGCCTTCATTGTTTCCCGTGTGTTTCGTTATGTTGGATTGGTATTATTGTTTGATTGTATAACTGTGTAATAGCTTCTTTAATTTCTTGTGAGAGCCATTGATTATTCGGGAGGGTTTTAATTTCCATGTGTTTGTATAGTTTCTGTGGTGTCTTTTGTCGTTGATTTCTAGCTTTATTACACTGTGATCTGATAATATGCATGGGATAATTCTGATTCTTTTGCATTTACTTAAACATGATTTATGGGCTAGTACGTGGTCAGTTTTGTAAAATGTTCTATGTGCTGCTGGGAAGAATATGTGTTCTGTTGTTGAATAGAACACTTGGTAGACTTCTAATAAGTCTATTTATTTGAAGGTTTGGTTCAAGTAATATTTCTTGTTTATTTTTTGGCTTGTTTATATGTGTATGTTTCTAATTGTTATCTAATTGCCTTGAAATCCACTTTGTCAGAAATTAGGATAGCTACTCCTGCTTTTTTTCTGGGTTCCTGTTGCATGGAATATTATTTTATCCTTTGATTTTTTAAAATTAAATGTGTTTTTTTAATACTTCGTATCATTGGATTTTGTTTTTTGATCCATTTTACCAGTCTGTCTTTTGATTGAGGAATTGAGACCATTCACATTGAGTAGTCACTTAGAGGTATTGTCTTATTTCTGTCATTTTATTATTTTCCTGTTGCTCATTTCCTTTTCCTTTTGTCAACTGCTTATCCTACTAGGTGTATTTATTCTTTTTGTCATATTGACATTATTGGCTTGGTGGTACATGCAGGGCTATCTGAGAATATGGGTGCATTTAGTCCCCCCAAAAGCCACAGACAGATACTACGATGTGTTGCATACTCTGCATGAGTCAGCTGCCTTTATGCATAAAATGTTTTAAAGAAATTCACAAATATAAATAAATTTCTTTTAATTTAATTAAATTTGTTGATTATTGTAATAATTTTTAATTGGTAGGAGTAGTATTTAATATATATATATAGGGACAGCAATTAATTATTCAACTTTATGCACCTCACTAGATTCAGTCCATTTATAGACTTTATTAATTTCATTAGTAAAAAGACCAGTGAAAGCAGTCAGATGCGTTTGTACCACCCGTGGTACGAGCCACCCTAGAGGACATGCGTGCATCGTGGACCACCACTGCTTCAGGCCGGCAGGAAGGTGTTAAACTTCCCTATCCTTTCTTCACTCATTTCTTCGAGGCAGTCATGTGAAATATTAGACTGTCTTTCTCTTCTCTCTTCTCCTCATACCTCAAGTCCCGTCTTTCTCTGACAACTGTCCTTCCCATTCTTTTTCTGCTTCTTCCTTTCTGGTTTAGAGATGCACGATCTATCACCAGCTCAGTCTCACTGATGTCTTCTTTCTCCGGTCTAATCATGATTGTTTTTCTTTTGCTCAGAATCTTCCAGATCTATTGTTCCCATTATTTATTTTGCTAACAGTTGTAAAAGTTTGTCATGTTCTCAAAAAGAGAAAGGATAGTTTCTAATGTTTTCTTTGTAAGCTGCACCATTATTGTGGCTGATATTTGGTAAATAGTAGATACAACAAATGAATCCTGCAATAAATGAAAGAATGGAGACTGCTTGAATCGTGCCCTATATGCTTTGAAATATTAGTTGATAGTCTTTTAATGCTTAATTTTGATCTTATTGTTCTACTAACTTATTGAAAGCATTAGAGAGCCTTTTTACTAAAATACTACATTTTTAAAACACTAATTTCAGTTTTTAAAAAGTTTCATGATTTTTTTCCCCTAAAAATGAAGTGGCTACTCATTGATAGGACCAGGAAAATTTTCTATAATGTATTATATAATTTATTATTATGTGTCAGTTTTCCTGATAATATAGCAGCATAGTTATTACTGTTCTTGGTATTTCAGTTTAAAGTGAAGATTGTTTTTGTGCAGTTTTAATAGCTTTGGGACATGATTATCAGGACAGCACTTTTTATATACATAAGCGTGACACTAATCTGCTGTATATTAAAACTGTTTCTAATTTTCTTTTAGGACCAGTTTGGACAACACATAAAATCAGAAGTACACTTGAATTTTTATGTTTATTATGGTCCTGATCGTATTAGAGACCCCGCTTTGCTTTCAAAACAAGATATTGTTTTGACCACATACAATATTTTAACTCACGACTATGGAGTAAGTATGCTGTTACATACGAGATTTTTAAAGGTTGTTTTTTTAAAAAAAGTTTGAATGTAAGAACTGTGCTTCAAGTTTCTCAAAGTTTTCTGAAATCCATACTTTTGTATTCCTCCCTTTTTATTTCTAAGTACTTAAGAATATGTAAAAAGTCAGCAGGGGTTTTTAAAATATGTTGCAAAAAAATAGGTTGTGTCTTTATATTTATTTGGCAATGTGTTCCACTTAGAACATTTTAGGTTAAAAATGTAAATTTAAATTGTAATGGGTACAGACACATTCACACAGCATTTTATAGGTGAGGATGTTTTTAATTTGGAAAATTAATTTTGTCATAACGATTTGATCTGTATTTAATGTTTGAAAATAAATTGTTTTTGAACTGAGGGCTTCAGCATCCTCCCCCTTTTTTTTTGAGACAAAGTCTCTAAGTCACTAAGTTGACCAGGTTAGATTGAATTTGTGATCCTCCTGCCTGGCTCACCTTCCCTGAGGGCTGGGTTTATAGGCTATTTCCAAGATTTAGCTCTTATGAGTTGTGCTGCTATAAACATGGATGTCCATTTAACATAATACGATGTCTTCAGCTCATTCAGAAGGATACTTAGGAGGGGAATAGCTGGGTCACATGGAGTTTCTGTTTTTAGTTTTTTGAGAGATCTTTATTGATTTCCATAGTGAGGTACTAATTTACCTTCCCACCAACAATGTAGAAGGGTCCTTTTCCCCTGCCATCTCACCAGCATTTGTTATCAATTGATTTCTTGTTAATAGCTATTCTTTCTGGAATAAGGTGGACTCTCAGGGTAAATTTGCATTTTTGAAATGATCAGAGATATTGGACATTTTTTCATGTATTTACAAAAAAGGTTTTTGTTAGTATATGGTTGCCATATGTAATGATCACATTCGTATGGGGAATTTGTACTCATACATAATAAGGTCTTAATTCTTTTTTTCCTATTCTCTCCTTCCTGTAACCCTTCTCCCCATTTAAAAAAGCTACTTCCATTTTTTTGCCTCAGTTCTATTTTTAAATCCTTTTTCGCTTCTTTCTCTCCCCTCCCTTGTTTCTCTCTCCATTTGAATAAGTTCTTTCTACCTAATATCTATCTTCCATTTTGTTCCTTATTTACACTGTGGGTTTCTCACATGAGAAAAATGATACGATATTTAAACTTGTGTGTCTGATTTGTTTCACTTAAGATTATGGTCTTGAGATGTGTTTATTTGTTTGTTTAGAGATGTATCCATTTAAAAAGGTCTCCGAGTTTATCCTTCTTTTTGGCGATTAGTACTGCATTGTATATTTCCTTTTTCCATTCATCTGTGGATGAGCATACATTATTATCATCTTCAGTATTTTCTCTTCCCAAATCAAAATTCACACCCTGTAAAAGGTTCATCTTGAGTCAGCCATTTGGGGCCGTCACTACTTTTGCTGCCAAAATCATCATCTTCACCTGTTCTTTTCAAACTACCTGACTGATGGACAAATCTAGTTGTTAGTATTAATGCAAAGCTTCTTTCTTGGATGTAACCTAGTACAACGCTACACTTCATTCCATGTGCTGACATAAAATACGCAATACCAAAGGCAGCAATTATGGAGATTCCTGCATTTCCACAGATGAGAATTTCTCCTCCAGTTTGTAAGCTACCATCAGTAAATTCTGCTGTCTTCTCTGTCAAGTGCTCCTTCCAGCTGAGCCTTGTCGTAACCTAGCTTGCTGGCCAAGGATCAGCTTCTGCAGAAGGTGCGGATAAGGTCCAGGGCTGAGGGCACTGAATGGTCCCAGCGCTCACACTTCCGTGACCCTGCCCTTCTGTGCCTTTGAATCATTCGGTGCTGCTCATGTATTTGTTTTATTGGCCATTTATTTGTATTTCTTTTTCTGAGACGCGTCTGTTCATTGCAACTGCCCGTTTTTTGATTGAGTCCTTTATTTTGGTTACTCTAATTTGAATTTTTTATTGTAGACTTTAGTCTTCTGAGGAGTAGCTTGGCATTTTTTGTCTTTCTGTAGGTTGTCTAGTCACTCTTTTGGTTATTATTACTTTTTTTTTTTCTGAGCAGAAGCTTTTTAACTTGCTACAGTCTCATGTGTTGATTCTTGGTATTATATCTCTTGCAACTGGGGTTCTGTTAAAAAAGTCCTTGCCTTATACCTGGCTTCAAGAGTTTTACCTATTTCATCTTTGTCTTTTACCATTTACATCTTTGAACCATTTTGATGTTAGTTCAGAGCACAGTTAGTGATATGGGTCTAGGTTCAGTCTCCTACGTGTGGATGGTAAGTTTTCCCAGCATCATGCATTAAAGAGGCTTTCTTTCCTCCTACATGCTTTTGGCCACTTTGTCCAAAGATGACATTTTGGAATGTGCCTGGGGTTTCTGCGTCCTCTAGTGTGATTTGTTGAGCCACATGTATGCTTTTTGCCATGCTGCTTTTATCACTTTAGCTTTGTACTATAATTTGAAGTCTGTAACTGTGATGCCTCGTGCTTTGCTCTTGTTGCCTAGTACTGAATATTTTAATTCATATGAATAATTTATTTCAGACTAAAGGGGATAGTCCACTGCATAGCATAAGGTGGCTAAGAGTGATCCTGGATGAAGGGCATGCCATACGAAATCCAAATGCCCAGCAGACAAAGGCTGTTCTTGATTTAGAAGCAGAAAGAAGATGGGTATTGACAGGTAGGTAATCATAACATTAAACTTTAGTTTGCCTTTAACACTTCTAAAAGTATTTTTAAATTTTGACATATAAATACCACATATATTTATGAGGTACCATGTCATGTTTCAGTACAAGTATACTTGTGTAATGTTCAGATCAGGGTAAGCATGTTTATCAACTGAGACAATTTTTCTTTGTATGAAAACACAATCTTCTAGATTTTTGAAATGTTCAATGTATTATCATTGTAGTCATCCTACTGCACAGTTGACCACTAGAATCTGTTTCTCCTAATTAACTGTACCTAGTTTTAGTTGCTAATATACCTAATCTTTGCATATTCTTCTCTCCCTCTACTCTTCCCAGCTTCTAGTAGCCACCATTTTCCTCTCATTTTCTATAGGATCAACTTTTTTATATTGCATACTGTTTTCCATAGTTCTTGATGGCTTTATTAAAGTATATTTCCAGCCAGTGGTACATAAATGTCCTCTTGTCCCCACATCCTGCTGGCATTTATATTTTGTCTTTTTATTTTAGTTTTAAATTTTTAGTACCAGGGATCGAACTCAGGACCTTGTGTTTGCAAGGCAGGCATGGTGCCACTGCGCTAAATCCCAGCCAGGCCCTATATTTGTTTTTTTTTGATGATAGCTACTCTAACTGGAATGCAGTGATATAACTCATTGTGGTTTTTTATTAAATTGTAGTTTGGACGTACATGTTTCTGACCATTAGTAATATTGAGCATTCACTGTTGGTCATTTATATGTCTTCTTTAGAGAAATACCTGTTTAGGTCTATCCTCTATTTTTAAGTCAGATTATTCAGTATTGCTTTTCTTTTTTGGTGTTGAGTTGTGTTCCCTATATATTCTGGATATTAACGCCTTTGTCAAATACTGATACATAATTTGCAGAAATTTCCCCTGTTCTCTAGGTTGTCTCTTCAGTCTATTTATTGTTTTGTTGTTGTTGTTGTTGTTATGCGAAGCTTTTTGATTTTATGTAATCCCATCTGTCAATTTTGCTTATATTTCCTGTGCTTCTGGGTCTGATCTCAACTATTGCCCAATCCAGTGTCCTAAAGTAGTTTATTTAATTTTTTATACTAGTTTTATTACTTTCATGTCTTCCATTTAAGTCTCTTAAAACATTTGAGTTGATTTTTTGTAAGTGATGAGAGATGCATTCTAATACCTGGGAATATTCATTTTCCCTGAACTATATTTGAAAAGATTGACCTTACCAATAACGATCTTAGTGAATTTGTTGAAGATCATTTGGCTGTGGTGTGTGGATTTACTTCTATTCTCTTTAATCTATTTTATTTATTACCATGCTATGTTAATTACTGTAGGCTTGTAGTATATGTTGAAGTTAGGTAGTACAATGCTTCCTGCTTTGTTGTTTTGCTTAACACTGCTTTGACTATACAGGGTCTTTTTATGCTTCTATATGAATTTTGGGGCTATTTTTCCTAGCTTTGTAAAGAATGTCATTGGTATTTTGATAAGGAATGCCTTCGGTTTAGAGGGTATTGATATTTTCAGTGTTTATTTTCCAAATGGGTTGTTTCTGCACTCTTTTCGTGCTCTTTTCATTTCCTTTCATCAGTGTTTCATAGTTCTCATTGAAGAGATCTTTCACTTTTGGTTCAGTTTATTCCTAGGTTGAATTTGTTTGTGGTAGGTATTGTAAATGAGATTGCTTTCCTTGTTTTGGTACTGGGAATAGAACTTGAGCCTGTAAGGCAGATAGCAGCACCACTAGCTAAACTCCTGGACCCTGAGATTGCTTTCTTGATGTATTTTTCAGAAAATGAGAGAGAATGTGCTCTTTCTTGGCTTATAGAAATGCAACTAATTTTTGGATTTTTGTATCCTAAACTTTGAAGAATTTATTAGTTATAATTTAATTGGAGTGCAGGATTTTCTAAATATAAAATCATATCATCTGTAAACAGTGATAATTTGGCTTCCTCTTTTCCGATTTGGATGTACTTTATTTTTTAATTTTGCCTGATTACTCTAGCTAGGACCCTAGTGTTGTGTTGCATAAAAATGGTGAAAGTAAGCGTCTTGTATTAAACTTGTAAAAAGTCAATTCTCTAAAATGTATCATTAACTTGACAGTGTATCTTTGTAAACTTAAAGTGAATATCTCTATTTTATGGAACAATTACCTGTACTTATTCTTGAATTTCAAAAAGGAGTAGACACTAATCCATTAATGAAACTTTTGATTTTTTTTTTTTTTTTTTTTTTTT